GTCTCTAACTCAACCAGTGAAGGTAGTGTTCTCGCCCCCGCTCCTGGTAGACGCGGAACTGCCCTGTTTTTCAGTTAAGCAGGTAGCTGGTGAAGGTTGTGTTCCCGCACCCGCTCCCGGTTATGCTGCATCTGGCATTCGTCTCTAACTCAGCCGGCAGTGTTCTCGCCTCCGCTCCTGGTAGACGCTGAACTGCCGTGTTTATTAATCCAGCCAGGTGAAGGCAGTGCTCTCGCTCCCGCTCCCTCTGCCGATAAACGTGGGTGTAATTACATCCCTCTTTCTGTTCGGCGAGTAGCAGCAACGCTCTACTCTTTCCATTAAGCAGGTAGCTGGTGAAGGCTGTGTTACCGCACCCGCTCCCGGCTACGCTGCATCTGGCTACCTACGGAGTGGCTCATTCATGTAGCGCCTGTATGGCTTCTTTTGAGCCATTGAGAAATGTGAGCATCTGAGGGAGGTTCTCATGGTAAACGCCTGCATGAGCTGTAGCTGCATGCCTCGGGCGCTCAGAGTGGCTAGAATCACTGAGGTGGAACGTCTGGCAGCAGCCAACAGACACCTCTCCTTGTCACATCCTCCTCCAGATCAATTCGGCCGTTCCCGGCGACTTGAGGGAGCGATGGCTATGTGTGCTCCCCCCAATAGAAGGACTAGAAAAGCTGTCCTCTGAAGTGGATCGGCTAGCTGCCGATAGGGGCATGATGAAGTCGCCTCTTGGTCCTTCAGCCTGGGCCAGGTGTAGGGGCCTTCGGTTGACGCCCCTCCTTCGGTTGGCGCACCTCCTTCGGCTGACGCACCTCCTTCGGTTGATGCACCTCTGTATGAGGAGGCCTTGTCGCTGGTACAGACTCGTCGCCAGGTTTCGCTGGCCCAGTCACCACTAACGGAGGCATGTAGGAGAGTCCTCCGTAGCGTACCAGTCGAGCCAGGGGAGCTGTTTAGGGCAGCTGCCCTGGAGGCACTGGAGCGTGCCGCCCAAGCTAGGCAGACCAGGCAGCAGCTCTCGGGTCTTCGCAGACCTGTGCCCACTCCCAGCAGGCCCAGGGGCCGCTCTAGCAGCCGCACTCAGCCGCCGGATTACAGGGGTGGTCTGCAGAGGTCTTAGCGGCGCGACCCAATGACTTTCGTGCCCCAACTCGCCCGCCTTCCAGACGGCCTCGTGCCCCAGTGCCCCCCCGGTCGTCGGCTGCTTTCCCAGCAGCAGCTCAGTTACTGGGCGGTCTGTACTTCCGTCCCTTGGGTGGTTTTCACCTTAACCCAGGGGTACGGACCGCAGCTCCGGCCCAAGAGTTGTCTGTCCTTCTGTCCAAGGACGCAATCAAGCCAGTAAGACCCTCTGCTTAGCCCAGGGGGTTCTACTCTGCGTACTTTCTCGTGAGCAAGAAAGTCGGCGGATTTCGCCCGATCTTGGACCTCAGAGGAATCAACAGATTCCCGAAGGTGCTGCCATTCTATATGCTGACCACTGCATATGCACAGGTGGAGTGGTTTTCAATCGTGGACTTGAGGGATGCCTACTTCCACGTGGGCCGGGCAAGATGGTGCCTTATATTCAGTTCCTCCGGCCCTTTGGCAGACTGGCAGCTGCCTCGGCCGCTGGGTCCTTAGGCCCGCTGTCGTTGCGCCCCATGCAGATGTGGCTGAACAGCCTTCACTTGGACGCCAAGTGGCACAGGCACAGGGAAGTCAGGGTGTCGCAGCATTGCCTCCACTCTCTGTCACGCTGGAGGGGCCTATCTCCTAGTGGGCGTGCCCATGGCCGCCATCCCATCCCGCCAGGAGACCATCACCATAGGTGCATGTCTCTCAGGGTGGGGTACAGTGCGGCAGGGCAGGACCGTTCAGGGTCAGCGGTCTGCCCAGGAGAGTGCGCGCCAGGTCAACGTGCTAGAGCTTTGGGCTGTGCAGCTTGCACTCACGCACTTCCTACCCCAACTGGGGGGCAAGAATGTGTGTGTTCCTTGGGGACAGCATGTACGTTGTTGCTTAGACAACAGTCCCTTCTAGATGGTGGACGTTCTCACTCCACTCTGAATTTATGTGGCTGCGATTTCTGCCCGACATGTTCGGGTTGACGGCGCCACGGCGGGGTGCCACAGGTCGGTCTCCCTCTTTATGAGAGGGGCTTTACGGCAGCGTCCCCCTAGCACCCCGAGGGCTCCGGCTTGGGACCTGCCCCTGCTGCCGGATGCCCTATCATCTCCTCCCTTCGAGACCCTGGCCCAGGGGGGGCTTAGGTGGCTGCCCACGAAGGCAGCATTTCTGCTTGCCATAGCCTCAGGGAAGCGAGTCGGGGAGTTGCATGTCCTCTCCATAAACAATACATGCCCGAGGTGGGACTCTCAGGCGTTGCCCTTTGGGCAAATGTGGCATTCCGGCCCGGGGTCCTTCCACAAACCCACTTCAATCAGCCTGCCCAGCTGGCACGCTTTGACATTCAGGAGTACGGCACGTCAAAGTTGCTGCCCTGGGGGTGCCCAAAGGGCGTATATCAAGGCTACTGCCTGTATACGGTAGTAGGAGCAACTCTTGATTTTGCCCTTGCGGCACTAAAGGAGGTTATGCCCTCTAACTAGTGGCTGCCCCACTGGGTTGTCGATACCATCTCACAGGCTTACGGGGCCAGTGGCCGCCCCCTGCCATCAGGCTGAGATGCCACTCTACAAGGAGCATCTCAACATCTTGGGCTGCCCTGAGGGTGGTGCCCCTGGAGACCATCTACGCCGCGGCGTCCTGGGTGTCTTCTGGCACATTCTCCAGTTGTCATCAGGTCAATGTCGCCACTCCCCATTATTTGGGCGTGGTCCTTTTGCCGAGCTCCGCTGTTTCCAGTGGTGAGCAAGGGCTTGGATTCTTCATGACATTGTTGGTATAAGTCATCCAGTGCTGAAAGCACCGCCTCTGGCGGTCAGTAGGGACGAAATAGAATGATAGTTACGGCTGTAACTACGGTTCTATGAGTCCCGGATGACCGCCAGAGTTCCCTGTCACTCAGAATTCTTGTGTGCTCGCGAGAAGATTCTGGGAACAGATCCTCTGATGACACCGGCTGATATAGCCGGTGTCACGTGGGTCACAGGTGACTTTGTTGGTATTGGTACTCGAGCTGCGCATGCGCGCGATGGACATATCCAGTGCTGAAAGCACCGCCTCTGGCGGTCATCCGGGACTCATAGAACCGTAGTTACAGCCGTAACTATCGTTTTAAGTGTTCAATTTTTACTTATTTTAAGGTTTTAACAGTATTCATAGGATTTGGAGAGAAAATTATGTCAACACATTTCATCAATTGGTAACAAAAATAATGGTTTTAAATGGTTATGTTTTTTTCAAATCAAATTAGTAAAATATATATCTTTTCACAGTTTTTTAGCATAATTGTCAAATCCCAACAGTACATGTTGTAATAGATGCAGCTTATGAGACTTCTAACACTTTTGTAATACAGTGCAATATCTATAGGAGTTTGTAAAGGATTAAGTATTTGCACACTGCTGTATGCTCTAAACCTTTAAAAAGATCCCAGAGGGAATCACACTGATAACGTGGAAATCAAAGGTGTTCTAAAATGTGGAAATCATCAGCTCACGAGCAGTTTAACCTGGATAATTCGATCATGGAGCCAGCTCTGATGAAATAAAGGCATTGGACCATTTCCATTCCATTTGGAATTATTTTAACCCATTTCATTTGTAATGGAGATGGAGGATACAAATAAAAACCCTCTTTTAATGTTCCCACATGTCCACAGCACATAACACACAGTGAGATTTAGTCTCTGCATTTAGATCAGTCTAGTATTATTCAATTCAAATTCAAGGGCTTTAGATATCATATGCACAATATCTACAGTGCAGTTGTTGGCAATGAAAAGTCCAAGGCCCAGACGACAGCGCAACATAAAATATACTCAAGAAATAAAGAAGTGAAATTGTGCAGGAAAAGAGTGCAAGGGGAGCAGTGTGAGGACCCAGTGCCTTGCTCGAGGGCATCTCAGTTGTGTCCATGAAGTGAACTGGAAACACTCAAAGTACCAATCAGCAATCTATTCTCGGCCCACTCAGGGACAACTGGTGACCCTCTCTGGTTCCCAAGATAAGTTCCTACAAACAAAGCTACTGCTGCCCAATACCAATGCAAACCAATGGGTGATGTCACAGCTAGATCCATCTTTAGGTACAGTTTAGGGAGTTACCAGGTCTAAATGCCACATCTGTTTTCAAAGAACATAAAATGCCCATAAGTATTTATTGTATTATAAGTATTGAGTCTTCGTTAAGCACAAACTCCCTGTGCCAATGAAAATGAAGTCCAATGATGAAACCAAATGATCAGTAAAATAAGTGCATGTCGTAAGTACAAACAGTATGTTCGAATAACATGGATCTTCATTAGATAGTGTTTTTTTAGACACTTAAGCTGTAAATGCTAAATGCTTTAGGTCACATAAATACTTTCATGGAAAGGCAGCATGGCCCACCCATCAGTGCATGATTGATCAAATGGCTTGTAAGTAAATAGGTTAAATTATTTGATTATTAAAATGTTGATGACAAGGACTGTATGCTGTCTCCTAAAGATATGTAGATTGATTCTGTATTTTAATAAATGTGTTGGATATAAATAGTATTATATTGACACACAACTACAGGCCCCTCAACATTGTTGAAGGCCAGGAGTGGGAGAGAGGAGTATATTAGCTGCAGCAATTATACTACTAGACCAGCACATAGACAACATTATACAGAGGGTCATCACAGCGGCTCTCTGCTAAGTGTCTAAAGATTGATGGCATTTGATACACAGTCCAGCATAGAGGGCAGAACAGGGCAAACGACAAAGTAAATACTAGTATTATACTTGTCATCAATCACGATTGTCACAGGTTAATATTGTTAATAACTCAATAACATTCTTTGACAGCATTAATCAAAACCTATAACTGATGATTCCTGGGGCTAATGGTTGGCTCTTTTTTTCTCTTCCTCTGTTTTCAGAACTCGGGTATTGAGAAGGCCTTCCTGTTCGATGTGGTCAGTAAGATTTACATTGCCACAGACAGCAGTCCAGTGGACATGCAGACATATGAGCTGTGTTGTGACATGATCGATGTGGTCATTGACATCTCCTGCGTCTACGGGTAAGCCACCAGACTCTCAATAAACCATAACGACTTCTGTATTGTCACAAAACTAAACTCTGTCCTTGTTGCAGCTCTATCAGAACTAGAAAATGCATTTCCTGCAGAAAATGCGTGCGAATGCTGTAAACTGTGAACATTTATGGCTGAATTTAGCTGAAAATGCAGAAAAAGCTGAATATGTTATTAGCTGAATGGTAGCTGCTTTTAGCTAAAAAAATGCAGAAAAAGCTTAATATTTAAAAGAAAAGGTTTAAAAAAAGGTATAACCAACAACATGTATAGCCTTGATGTCCTGAAATAGCTGAATAATGTAATACTTGAATGGTTTCTGCAGCTGAAAATAGGCTGAATGAGTTAAATATCAGATGTAAGTAGTAGTGAATGAATGTGTATTAAGTTGAGAAAATAATGTAAAAAGGCTTGGGAAAGCAGAAGAATATTTGAACTGCAAACTTTTGAACTAACTTGAAGGTGAATGATCTGTCGCCATGCCAACGGCATTAGATGACATCCCATAATATGCTTAGATGTGTTGATGGCTGCATCGTTACCAAACTTGTGAAATTTTGGGCCATTTCGAGCATTTTCACTGAAGTTATGAGAAAACCGTGTTTCATGGTGAGCATTGTGTTGCCATGGCAACGGCATTTGAAGAAATCTCAAAACTTTCCCGTAGATGTCTTCATGGCTGGACTGTTAGCACACATGTGAAGTTTGAGCACTTTTTGAACATTTTCATAGGAGTTATACATTACATTAGGAGGTTACATTACTCTCTCTCTTCTCTTAATCGCCCTCTCTCTCTTCTCTTGATCGCCCTCTCTCTCTTCTCTCTCTCTTGATCGCCCTCTCTCTCTTCTCTTGATCGCCCTCTCTCTCTTCTCTTGATCATTCATCATCATCGGTGTATGTGTGTGTGTGAGAGAGAGGGAGTGTGTGTGTGTGTGTGTGTGTGTGTGTCTGTGTCTGTGTGAGAGAGAGTGTGTGTGTGTGTGTGTGTGTGTGTGTGAGAGAGAGAGTGTGTGTGAGAGAGTGTGTGTGTGTTAATTGTTACAGCTCAAATGCATTGCAATAACTTCCATGTTAAAAAAAAAACTTTAAAAAGCTGAATATTTTAAAAAGTATAACATATTTGTTGAAAAGGCTGAATAGTTTGATATTTGAATGGTTCCTGCAGCTGAAATTAGGCTGAAGGAGTTAAATAAAGATATTAAATGTAAGTAGTAGTGATTGAATGTTTACAAACACCTGTGTGTGTGTAAACCCAGAGATCAAAGGTTTCCATGGTGTCTGCTCTGATTACATGATGTCACTCACGTGTGTGTGTCTGGCTCCAATCTGCCCAGCAACACCATGACAACCAACTTCAGCACTGAGTCCCATAAGAATGCATTGGGGATTATATCTGACAATTTTGCCACCTGTTCAAAAACTATGGCTCTTATAAAAAAATGACCAGACCGTGAGCATCAGGGAACCCCAATGAACTGAAATATGTTGTTTTTTTGGGTTTTGTGTGTAAAATGTGGAGATGGGAGCAGTTTATCTAAAGTGTACTTCTCTCTGCTCTGAAGAAAGATCCGGAACAATTTAACATGGGAATCAATTGGGAGCTAGCTGGATTTTTTTCTCTCTTCATGCCCTCGAGGCATTTTGTTTAATATTTGTTCTTATTTTTATTTTCCAACCTAGGAGAGGTTTTCCTACGTTTTTCATGAAAACATATGTCTGAGGAGTGTAGGGTTTGGGAATTATGGCAAGTTTAAAACATTTTTGGGGGAGAATTTTGAGCTGTCCTGCACTCTGTTTTGAGATCAAAGCACTCTAGAGTTAATGAGCTGCTCCATCCACTCCAATGTTAAAATCTGAAAAAGGCCTCTCTACCAAGCTCCAAACTATAATATCAATATCTCAAAAAGTTTAAAAGATATCACAAATCTTTTATACAAGTTTTATAGCTGAAGGTATTGTGATCATTTGAAAGTTGGAATGAAGTGTCTGGCTGAAATTATGTGGAAGGAGTAGAATTTGGCGCACGGTGTAGCAAAACAGGATTTGAAGGCATCTCTCATTGATTTCAATGTTAAAAAAAGAGTTTAAAAAGCTGAATATTTCAAAAAGTATGAAATATTTTGAAAAAGTTGAAAGTTTCTCATCAATTGCTTAAAAGGCTGAATAGTTTAATATTTCAATGGTTTCTGTGGCTGAAAGTAAGCTGAAGTTATGGAGTGCTAAAGTATTGGCTGATTTGAAGGCTCTTCCCATTGACTTCCATGTTAAAAAAAGAGTTTAAAAAGCTGAATATTTCAAAAAGTATGAAATATTTTTAAAAAGTTGAAGGTTTCCCATCAATTCCTGAACAGGCTGAATAGTTTAATATTTGAATGGCTTCTTTTAGCTGAAAATAAGCTGAAGTTATGGAGTGCCAAAGTATTGGCTGAAATAATAAGTTTATTAAGGGGAAGAATACATATTGGTATTCAGCAAGCAATTTAAGTAATGGATGGTTCATCTTTCAACAAGTGTTTAGTAGGCTATTGGAGAAGTTGTTCTTGGTCTTCACTAACATTTAATATTGGTCATTATGTACTTTAATACAAAGTGAAAACTAAAATCCTTTTCGGAACAGCACATACTATGTTATATTTCAGTGTAACAACTAAAGACTATACAACTATGGTATTTGTTTTATTAGAAACAACTGGATATAAAAATAACAGACTTCTGCTGTACATAATAAGGGGCTTTCAATACATTATGCTGAGGAACATTAGGACCCTTCAAATGTAATGTATTAACAAGGTTTTCTTAGGCAGTTTTTCTGATATGTCGATAATTGATGTGACCCCATGATGATAACATTTTAACATGTTAATAATAGACATAGTTTCAGTTTCATAAATTAAGCCTCTGATTCCCCTTTATATCGCAACGGCAGTGGTACATATAATAAGTCAACGTTTTCTTCTCCAGAGTCAGGTACTGATCTGAAAGCAAAGGATAGAATATGTTTAGTTCCAGTGCTTGATTGTGATTTGCTGCACCATGTTAAAGACGGTGTAAGATACTTTATAGACATACAGCTGTGACCACCTTAATTCAGCATTACTGCGCCATTAGTCACTAATAGAGTGGTGCAGTGATGATGTATGTAGGCCGACCCGAAAGTCAGCATTGCAAGGACTCTCAACAGAAAGCAATGGGGTTTTTACATGAGATTTCAGAATATTGCTCCAAAAACATTATTTGGCAATCACATGTTTATGATACTTACATGTTTTTTCACCATTTTCAGATATTTAAAGAGTAGATGAAACCAACATGAGTCGCATAGCTTTGCATTCCCACCGCTAATTAGGCAGCTAATGTTAAGATTGACCTTTTAATAGTCTAATTTAGTCACTTGTTAGCAACCGCCATTTTTATGACACATAGAAGCATAAGGGGTGAGGAGAAACACTTCAAGATTATTTGCTGACGTATTTTAAGTCCTAAAACAAAATGTGCAAAAAATCTTAAGCTTGTGTAAACCGCAGACCTTATTTCAGGAATCCAAACCAAACTTGTCTGTAGCTACTGATATTGTCATAGTAGTGTTATCAATTTAGAAAAATGTTGCTGGGTCACACTGTAACAAAAGTGGGTAAGTGAGTTAGTAGTTGCAGATTGGAGAAACATATGTGGTTATAATCAGCAGCGATTCCCGCAGAAATTAAATATACTTTGGGGGAACGACTCGGGGCGGGGGTTGGGGGGTGCGTGCCCCCCCCCCCCCTGTGAAACATTTTGAGATTTTTTTTCTCAATTCCTGCATTCTAGTGAATTTTCATAGTAACACTGCACTTCAGACAACCTACAACTGGTGATGGTGTCTAGGTCTTTAAGTGTTAAACAGCTGAGAGCAGTCACTGCTGTTTTTTGTGGTCTTCTTTCACACACACATCTTACCAAGTGGGAGCCAACACACGGGCACCGACCAAGAGGGCGCCCCACGCCAACATACGTGGAGGTGCTGAGGAAGGATGTGGGGGTGGAAAGCTCCACAGAGCTGGCCGGGTGTATGGAGGCCCATGAGGATTGGCGAACCCGTTGGCAAACTCGTCTAAGGACGACCTAGTAGTAGTAGTAGTAGTCCTTGATTGGCTCAAGTTCACACCTTTTTAGGGGCGGGGCTAGTGATGTTGTCCCGGGGATGCTTAGGAGTTGATAAAGGAGATAATCCCACTGACGTCATCATTTGATTCCAAAAGTGGGTCTGGACTCGCGCCCATAGAGGCTGTTTACCAGTATAATGGCTCCCCCCAAAGTATAATTTATAAGTGGCTCCCCCCAAAGTATAATTTATGGTTTTTTAAGTTTTTTTTACTCACTGAGCACTCATTGCCACCAATGCAAATTCTAATGAGTGCTCACTGAGTAAAAACAAAACAAAAAAACACACAAATTATACTTTGGGGGGAGCCATTATACTTTGGGGGCCCCCCAAAGTATAAACATGCTGTGGGAATCACTGATCAGTATTTCTGTTAGCCGGTAAAGTCCGTAAAATGTAAATCTCTCTGGTCAAACTGTCCCGTTATTATATTTAGCTTTAAGCACAATTTAAAGAGTTTTGAAAATAGTCTGACTATGTCACGATCACAGGTACAGATCAGAACCCAATAGCACGACTCAGATACAACCAGTTTTTAGCAATGTTCAGTTTATTCAGGTCAGGGACAGGCAGGGTCAAAACCAGGAAATCCATCAGACAGGCAACCAAAACTAGACAGGGAGCAGGCAGGAACTCGAGATCCGTAAACAGGCAGGCAGGGGTCAAAAACCGGGCAGGACAAAAATCTAGGCTAGAGCACAACACTCACTGGAGAGCTTGGTGGAAACGACAAGACAATCTGGCAAAGGACCAGTGATAGTGAGGTGGTATAAATACTGTGGAGTGATGAGGGAATGAGTAACAGGTGAGGGGAATGGCTGGGGAGACCAGGTGAGGGAAGTGA